TTAAAATACAAATAATTGGGTTAAATACAGGTATATAATGAAAAAGTATGGAAAGAAACATTTGAATAGTGTTTATTGTATTGTTGTTAGTTGTTGAAAAAAATAAGAAATATAAGTTTCCTGCTTGGTTAATAAATGGTACCAATGCCTAAAATGTTAATTTTTAAAATTTACAAAATAATTTGAATCTCATTTACATATATGACATGTTGATACTCTCCCTCTAACCTACCCCACCGCCCCAGCGGTTTATCCCATTCCTTAGTGCCTCGTTGTATTTTTATTCCAAAGGATAAGTTATTGGCGGTATTAAGCTTAAATAATAGGTGGCTAAGATGATTGCTTTCCTCTTACTTTTAGGATAATCCTGGCCTTACACATCTAGCACACCAAAGGTCCCATCCCTTTGTTGTTAAAATTTGATCACCCTTTAAAGTATTTTCTTACCAAAAGAATCAAAACTTTTGTTAATTGTTTATTCAATCTTTTTAAATTTCCATCAAAATTTGTGTTTAAATTAATAAATTTAACCATTTTAAATCCACAAACAATCATTATTAAATAAGGAAGTGTTTGAGTTAAAATAATAGGTAAAAGTATTAGAGTATTCGTCTGCATATTTTTTGTAAAATTAAATATGTGTTACCGTCATTTAATGTTATAGTCCAAATGCCATTCATTTTAAAAAATCAGACTTATCTTGTGGTAAAAGTGTGAATTAGTTCCTTAGACATTTCTTCGAGTTAGGGGTATACGCCCACTTGGTCTGGAATTTTCTCAAAGTTATAGCCAATTTTTTAAGATTTTATATAAGCGATTATAACTTTCAAAAGATTAAAGAAACAGGGTAAGGAACGGTCCCAGGCCAAATAGTTATTGAACCGATAGTTATTGTTATTGAACCTAAGTCCAACTTTGAAACAAAAAAAAATTTGATTTTTGTAATGAATGTATATTTGCCGGCCAAGTGTCATTTGGACTAACATTAAATTTGGACGGTTACATATGTATGAATTTAATTTAAAACTACCAATTCCACATTAGCATATTGAATATATGGCAATGTTTTGTTAAAATTGTCAAAATATTTAATACCCCCAGATGAATAGGAAAGAAAAAAATAATCCATATCCAAGCTTTGAATTAATTGGACAATTAAAGCAATGGAAAAAATAGATAAATATCGACAAAAATTAATTTTTAAATTCCTTTAGTATTAAAAAAATTATCAAAATTATTTGTATTTGTGTAGTTACCCCCATAAGTCCCGCCACCTTTTTCTTCTTTTTTTCTTTTCTTAACAATACTTTCCTTTTGAAATTTCAATCATTTATGTAACGATAAAGGACCTGTAACCAAATTTTTTTAAATTTTTGACCAAATTTGCTTTTGTCTCGAATCCTATTCTATGGGTATGGCCTTCACGGAGTATGACTTTCCTGGAAAAATTTTTAGGAATTAACCTATTGCATGTAGCTATAGTGATACAAATACCAAACCTTGTCATAAGTTTAAATTGCAAAAGATGGTGATCCATAACAAAGAATCACACCAGAAAACAGCCACCGTCTTATGATAACGGTTAAAACCGCCGGTTGGTCGTTACCCAACCAGAAACCGACTTTTTATGAAATGGGCCCAGAAGCTGTCGAAATGCCAGTCTTTGATATAGGCTTTTTGACATTATAGCGTCATATCCTTCTTCTTCCCTTTAAAAAACGGAAGAGAAGAAAAAGGGGCAGAGCTTATAGGGGGGAAAGTACACAAATACCATTTTCTACTCTATCACCTATTCAAAACTAAATATCTGTAAACAAATTGAACACACAATCCATTCAAATTCAAATTTGCAATATATAACCAAAATGCTAAAACAATATAAGTAATAAATGGATTGAACTTTTCTTTCATGAAAAAAGGCAAGAGTCCATTAGGTACTATTGTAAATGAATTCCCTTCTGTATCGACTACATAAAACTATAAATTATATTTTTTTAATAGTCGGGATAAAGTTTTGTTTTGAACTATAATTCTTATTTTTTTAATTAAATTGTTTCATATTCTAGTTTTTTATTTTTATATTAATGCAAAGCTGTTTAGAAATTTCAATCCTAAATTTTCAAGGTTTTTTCAATTTTGGTTACGATTTCAGAGATTTAAAAAAATATTTTTGACTTTATCATTTTGAAATTTATTAGATTTTCGAAGCATTTTATCTGTCGAAACAGCTCTTATTAAGAAAGATAGTAAGGGCCATAAGTTAGGACAGCATAAAAATTCGGATATCTGAATTCGGAAACAAGAATCCCACAAAATCACGTGTGCGATCCCGTCTTGCGCTCAGGCAAGAGACAATCTCCAAAAATGCAATGCAAGGCAAAAAATCAACCCCTGCTCGTGCTGATCTTAGTAATAAGTCAGTATTATATAAAAAAAGACAAGGAGCCTAGATTTCGAAATATTTTTTAACCCCATTTATATGTACATATTTTTATTAGCTATCACCTCTTGTGCTAACATCTGGGCCGTTAATGTCAAAATATCCAGAACACAATTTTGTATCAGAATTCTGCTGTGTGTTTTCATTTCTTTTGGTGTTTTAAAAATAATTAAAACAATCAGAATAATGTTTAGAGGATAACCAAGTAATAAACTCCCCCAATAATCACATTTTGAAGAGATATCAGGTAAATTAGTCATTTTCTTTTTTAAAGTTTTTAAAGCTTTAATGTAAAACAAAGTAAAATTAATTAGAAAAATTTTTATTAAAATTTTTCGCACTAACAACTTTTGAAAATACAAAAAATTGTTGACAAGTTTTTAAATTGAAATCGTGTGACATTATTACTGGGGCGGGGACAAATATACACGCAACATCGCCAAATATGCATAAAAAGCTCAAAATTTTTCGTGCTTAAGCACAAAAAAGCTCAAAATTTGCCGGTACTTTATTAATATCCCGCCCCCGACCCCTATTTGAGTCTCAGATTAATTTAATTTTCTTTCTTTACGGTCAATCATTTAATTCACTCCTTTTATAATGACAATCATTTTTGCCTTCGAAACCGAAGAGGGCGCGCGACCGAAGGGGCCTTAGAGGCCCCTTACAAAGGAGAGTGCCTGTGGTGTCCGCGGGACTTCGGGATGAAATTTGGTGGACAGGTAGATCATCTATGATAGTCATACCCAACTTAGTTTCCGCTAAATGGTACCGTGGGCCAAGTTATGAGCACCCAAAATTTTAGGGTCCCCTCTTATAAACAATTTCTATTTAGTCATAAATGTGTTCGTCGGTGGTGCAGTGGTAGCGTCTCTCTCCCAGGTTCGAATCCTAATTGGAGAAATTAATTTATTTAAACATAATTTTCGTTTTTTTGAAAATTTTGGTTTTAAAATTTTTAAAAAATTTTCTTATTTTTTTTGAAAATTTTTTAAATTTTTTGAAAACACATTATGAAAGAACACAAGAAATGAATAAGTCAAGGGCTTTAAAAGGCAAGGAATAAATATTTAAAAAAATTTTTATAAAAGTTTCAAAAAAAATTAGAAAATTTTTTAAAAATTTTAAAACCAAAATTTTCAAAAAAAATCAAAATTATGTTAAAATAAATTAATTTCACTAATCAGGATTCGAACCTGGGTGAAAAAATTGAATCCAAGAACGCTACCACTGCACCACCGACGAACACATTTATGACTAAATAAAAATTGTTTATAAGAGGGGACCCTAAAATTTTGAGTGCTCATAACTTGGCCCACTGTACCATTTAGCGGAAAATAAGTTGGGTATGACTATAGTAGGGTAAGATCTATCTGTCTGCAAAATTCCATGCCGAAGTCCCGCGGACACCCCAGGCACTCTCCTTTGTTAGAGGCCGATGGCCCGAAGAGGGCCATAACGGCGCAAAGCCATAACCTGCTTCGAGATTTTCGAAACTTATCAAAGTTATAATTAAATGGGTACTTATAGGGTTTGGGTCCGCTGGAAAAAAATAATTCTATTTTTCCTTAATTTGTATGAAATGGTAAACTTTCTCCTTCCTCAATTTCTCTCTATTTCCTTGTAGCATATTCAAATTATAGACATTAATAAAGGAAAAATAATTTTTCTCCAATATCATCAAACATTAGGATCAACATTTTCATTTTTGGCATTTTAGTAATCTTTTCTTTATTAATGTCTATCATTTGAATATGCCACAGGGAAAATGAATAAAATTGAGGAAGGAGAAAGTTGACCATTTCATAAAAATAAGGAAAAGATAGAATTATTTTTTTCCAGCGGACCCAAACCCTATAAGTACCATTAAATGATTCCTCACATCGAGTTGAAGATATTATACAGAAAATGACAACGGCCAAAAATATTCCAAAAAGTTATGGCTTTGCGCCATTATGGCCTCACGCCGCGGACCGCTCAAATATCATAAGTTTTTAACTTGCCTTTTACTTAACATAATATTCGAGGGAAGAAAATGATTGGCATCATAAAAGAAGGGAAATAAATGATTGACGGTAAAAAAGGAAAATTAATCTGAGACTCAAATAGGGGTGGGGGCGAGATATTAATAAAGTACCAATTTGCCAAAATATGCACCTATATGCAAATATGCAAGAGAGGGTCGAAATATGTAAAAAACTGCATTAAATACCGGGTCTTAAAGTGCCCTCGATTAGTCTACTGTATGCGTGGAATACCTTTTTTTTATCAAAAAATGGTCATATTTTTTAAATAGATGAATTCAAGCCTCTACTTAGACCTTTCAAACTGTATTAAACTTAAATGGGATATTCTGAATGAAAATTTAGATTATCCATTACACAACGCCGCCTTAGGAATTAAATAGCTATATGCTTTAAAATAAATTATGGTCTGTTCCAATTAAATTTTAATTTATTATACAGAACAATGAATGAACAAAGGATAATATGAACACAAATACAATAGTCATACAAAATATAATATGTACAGGAAAAAAATTTTTTATAGGATGTATCATTTAGAAATTATCATATATTTTCTTATCCTTAGTTTTAGTATTCTCAGGTACTTTATTCATTTTAGTATTCGATTTAGTCTTCTCAGGCTCCGCTTGAATATTATTATGCCAATCACGCTGGATTCCCCTACGACGGTCCATCTCGACATACACCTCCATCAATGTCTTATTCTTCGTTTCTGGCACGTACTTCCAAATGAATAGACTGAACAAGCCGACTAGACCAGTGAATACAAGGAAGGAAAATTCGTGCATTAAACCCTAAAATTTGGAAAATTTTTCAAATTTTTTCGAATTTGCCTCAATCCACGGGAAAGCCATTCCAACAGCAAACGTGCAGAACCAGTTGGTGAAAACAGCGACTGAGTTGGCCTTCCCACGAGCATTTAAGGGAAACACCTCGCTCACGAAGAACCAGGGAATTGAGCCTTAAAATGATTTGATAATTTTTTCAAAAAAATTATCGGTATCACCTGCTCCAGCAGCAAAGGAAATCACAAAAGCAAGTACGGCCAGTACTGCCACATAGGAGAACCAATGAAGGGCTGCAACATGTTTAGCGGAAAGTATAGAAATTGCAATAATTGCCGTGGTGACGAACATTCCAATAAAGCTACCAAGTAGCAACGTTCGACGTCCTTGTTTGTCAACCTGAAATCGAGAGTCGTTAAAATATTTTGAATGAGTTTTCTCACGAAATAGACAGAAGCAATAGTCATCAGAACATTGATGGCACCCATAGCAAGCGTTGCATAATTTGGCCCTAAAATAATTTAGAAAGTGCAAATTTAAATAGCGTAAAGCTTATAGCTATTTAATCCCTAAGGCTGAGCAGTAGGCGGCGTGGTGTAACGGCTAACACATCAGTCCTGTCTACTGAAGATGCTGGTTGCATCCAGCCGCCGATTAACCTTTTGCACTAGCTAAAGGAGAGAAATAGCTATAGCCCAGCTGCTTTACTATAATGAGAACTGACATTGATCTTGAAGACCAGCACTTTTGAATATATCAGTGGAGTAGAACATTACTAAAATTGAAAGAAAATTATTTTTTAAGACAGATTCCCTGTCAATATACCCACCAGCATTGATCCCACTAAGCTGCTGAGCAAACATCAAGAAGGTGGATAAAGCCAAAGGCCAGATAAGATATGGACCAAACAAAGCGGCACAGTTAATTTCTTCAGATTTTGCAGCTTTTGCTTCATCCGCAATTATCATCAACTCATCTTGGACCTGACAAATTTACAAAAAAATTTTTCGAAAGGAAACAGCAAAATCACCTTAGCGTGGCCTCGCAATTTTATCAAATCCTGCTGTGCCTGGAAATGGTTGTCGCCGACTTTGATGGTGTACTTGGGGCTTTCAGGGCAGAGCATGAGCGTGGAAAGTTGCAAAATCGCAGGGACCTGTTAAAGACAAATTCAAATTAAAAAATTCCTGGGCAAATTTTTAGCGCATAAAAATGCCTTACACATATGGCATAGAAGATCCAAGGCCATCGATCAGCAGTCCCCAAAATAGATGGAAGTCCGACAACCTGCGAGGCCAGAATTGAGATGGTAACGAATAGCTGTGCAAAAGAGCCGATTGTTCCGCGGAGGTTTGCTGGAGAGATTTCTGTCAGATACATGGGCACTAGACCGCTATTCAACCCTAGAACGAAGGGAAGGTTATTCATGACTTTACAGTCAAAGAATATTCACCGGCATTGACTCCAATGATAAGCCTGCCCGCGGTGAACAAGTACCGCACGTCAAACAATTTTGCGAAGACGAAGAAGCCTGTGGCGACGAGCGCAACGACATTGTTCATTAGCAAGGCAGTCTTCCGTCCAAGTTTATCCGCAAAGTATCCACAAGAAAGACCTCCGGCAATTCCTCCAATGGCGAAGATGCTGACAGCTATCGACCTTAAAAAGCGTTTGTGTGAAGATTTAAGGCCTTTTGAAGCCCTACCATGCCGTTTTCATATCATCGACTGTCGCTCTCTTTTCATGGATGGCGAGCCCTTTATTGTACGATGACGCGAACCATTCTTTGATTAGATCAGCTGAAGAGTAAAAATTGTTAATCAATTTTTAGCATGTTGCATACCAGGCATATTGATACAGCCAATGTTGTAGCCAAACTCGAAGGATCCGATCGACGCCGACAACACTGCACCAAAGAGATGACAAGTCCAACGTCCCTCCTAAAAAGTATGAGAGATTAGATGTGAAATGAAAAGTGGACAACTAACCATTTTTATTTGAGATATGTGTAGAAGTGGATTGAAGCGGATTGTTAAAATTGCTTTTATAGTGTGAGCGCTTATATAGGAAAATTATAAAAATTCTCAAAATTAATAGAGAAAATTCTGTAAGGAAGAGAAGATCCAGCTGGCTATCATTTAAAACACCACTAGGCGGGGGTTTAAGATCTATTAAAAGAGAATGTGAAAAACAGCGTCCCGGTAGCTCAGTTGGTAGAGCACCTGTACGTGGTGAGCGAAAGCGCCTAGCAATAACTGCCGGGAGGTCGCAGGATCGAAGCCTGCCAAGCATTAAACTTTACCTTGCTCTTACTATTTAAATGACAAGTTGGAAAAATTTGGTATACGACACAGACGCCGATTAGGTCGAGTGATATGTCATTCGAAAGAGCTTGTCGAGTTGAGTCGAATGGTGAAAAATTTTCGCGCGGACGCATAAATGGGCCGAGATATAGGGCTCGAAATGGTCAAATTTCTGGGGGGAAAATATCAGGAATATTTCAAGAATTTTTGTTATTTTGGGTTGGAGTTGAATTTGAACTTTTTACATGTTTTCCCCTTTACAAATTTATTTTTTAAATTTATTTTATTAATTCTCACAATTTTTTTTCAATTCGAAGATGGTAAATTCTTTTAAAAAATAATTAAAATTCAGTAAATAAAATATTTTTTGTCGAGAAAAAGTACGCTTGCGCTCAAACTTCTTACTAGAGATCGGACCGTACCGTACTACGGCCGTATTTTTCGGTATTTAGTATTCCGTATCGGTAGTACGGTACGGAATACGGTACGGAAAAATTTTGAAAAAAATACGGTAGGAATACGGTACCGATGAAAAACATCGGTATTTGTCGGTATTTCTCGGTATTTATCGGTATTACAGTCGGTAATACGGTACGGAATACGGTACGGAACAAAATTCCGATCTCTACTTCTTACCTTAAATTTTATGACTTTTATCCTATTTTATTTTTTCTCAAGTTATTTTAATTAGTGATACATCCATTAGAACATTTTTAAGATTTAAACACAATTTAGTGACCCTCGCTTTTTTTTATTTAGAAAGCGTCAGGTGTGAAAAAACGCTATATCGAAGGTCTTTGCTCTTGAACGTTTTAAAAATTATAAAGGTAACTTCTCTTGCAGAGAATAATTCTTTTGCAATGCAAACTTTTTTATGACTCACTTAGCCTATTAACTAGAAATAGGGAGTTGATTAAGACACAATATCAGTCTCTTTTTTCTTTCATTTTTTTTCTACATTTTTTTAAACAATTTAATTTCCAACGTTCTCGCATAATTTTCAGCGAGGAGAATATTTTAAGTAGACGATAATAAAAAATTTCACTTTTTAATTCAATTAATTTTTTTTCAACTAAAATAAGTGGCGAAAGGTCATGTTTTTAGTCTAAAACAAGACAAAAATTAAAGTTTGAAATTAATTTTTAATTGAAATTTATTTTATTTATTTTTAATTTAAAAAGGATACTGTAGTCACTGAACCTTTCAATCCTTTGCTCTTCTTTGGTCAATAACTTTCTCAGTTTTCGATCAATTCGAATAATTTTTACACCTTTCGAAAGCTTAGGATTTGTAGAATCTTTTTCCTTCAGAGAGTGAGTTGATCCGACTATTCGTTAGAAAGTTACAGCCTTTTAAAGAGCGTTATATCGTGATTTTTCTTTATCAATATTTTTCGTTCTTGTCGTGACTTTTTTTTATTTTTTTAAATTTTTTCAGTTGATAAATTTTCTCTATCATTTTCCCTTATTTTAAAATATGTTAATTAAAAATTAATTTGGATTCATGGGCTGGTGCAAGTTCAAATTTATGTTTTGTTTTCGTCTCATTCTTGCAACAATTGCTCATTTTAATTGGTTTTTTATTAATAATTTAAATATAAATTTTTAAATTTTGGTACTTTATCGTATTATCTCACAAAAATTTTGTTTCGTTTAATTTTTTCGTTTTCCGATAAGGTCAGTGAGCGTGCCGGGCGAGCTATATACCGCCGAGTTATAACTCCGTTCGAAACTGCGAATCCAGAACGCATTGGTATGGTTCGATGCGGCTCGACGAGCTGAATTAAATTATACCAGGCCTCCCGGATTCGGCGATTATGGCAAAGTTACTGGGCTCGCGGTATATCGGGATGAACCCATATTAATTAGCCCGTTAGTGTCAATAAGATTCAACTGGCCAAAAGTACCTATATGTTCCCAGTTGCATTTTAAAACCAATGGTCCATAAACTATCCTTATCACCATAGATCCTCTCGGGAAGCAAGAGAAGATCTCGGGAAGCAAAAAAACTAAGTGTTGTCGTGTCCCAAATTGTCGGGTCCCCAAAAGCCGGATCCCCAAACGTCGCGCCACGCCGCTGCCCAACGTACCGCTGACAATTCTACAAATTATTAGATGGAAATATTTGTTCCAACGATGGGAACAAATATTAAAAAGTTAGGAGATAATGCGATAGTACCTAAATAGACGTATATTTTCAAAGGTTAACAGCAATTTATGTCAATTGTATTTTCTTTACTTTATGGAAATCCTATGATATTTTTTGGTTTTGGTTCCATTTATTTTTGTGTATTTGCTTCCCAGCTTTGAGACCCGAAAATTATTTAATTGTATTTATTCGCCTAATTCGTGCAAAATATGGAGAATATTCTGGCAAATCTTTTAAAGAAATTTATGAACATTTTTATATTTATAATGAAAGGGAGACCAAGACGGAAGTCGAAGTGAGACGAGTTGAGAGTTTAAGAAGGGAAAGAAGAATAGGAAGAAATAATAAAAAGGTTTTTTAACAGAAAACTTTTGCGGGTAATACATGCCTGTGAATTTGTAGACTAACGATGGAGACGATCCATCCTCTAGTAAAGGGGAAGATATTGAAATTGGAATAACAACTTCAGACCCAAGATTGCTTGAAAATGAAGAGCAGGCTATGCCAAATATTCACATAGATCGTCAAAAGGAAGCATCGAGGAGTAGTCAAGAGCACCTGGAAGGTTTATATTAAAGATATCAGGGAATATTATTTTCCGAACCGAAAGTGAGGAATTTGGATCAAAGCTTGTTTTGTAATCCAATTTTTTCCTCTAACTAATTTTGATTTTTCTGGTTTTTATTCCACCAAGACATTTGATCCCAAAATTTAATTTTTTTATTTTTCTGATTCTTTATCCTTTGATTTTTTCAAGTTTTAATCACTCATCGTGAGCCTCCGACAGCTGAACGAACTGGGCTGAAGAGAATTATTCCTTCATTTTTAATCAAAAAAAGCTATTCACAAAAGCGAACAGAGAAAATGGAAGGTTTTAAATTAAAAAAAATTTATTTTTACTTTTTAAGAAGCAAGACGTCTTCAAGAAACTGACAAAGAAAAGGCTGAAAAAATTTTAGCCAAGCAACAGCGAAAAGAGAGAAAACGGAGACAATTGGCGCTGTTGGCAGTGCTAAAAGAAAGGGCAGGAGAGGAGAGAAGGTAGTTTTGGGAGGATTCAAATTTTATCTGTTTTGAACCCCAACCCGAATACGAGGCAGAAATGGGGTTCGAATGAACATATTAGAAAAAAACATAGAACTCAGCACACTCGGTTACCTACTGGCAAGCCTCAAAAATATCGAAAGAGTATCTCCTACTCTTCTAGCGACCGTAGACTAGAAGATTACCAAAAATTTTAATTTTTAAGATGTAAAAATTTTGCTGACTCAGTTGATGTATTGATACTATCCTGCCGTTTCCTAACTTCTTATGCTGTATTTCACGCTAAGATTCACAAAATGTTTTTACCTCAGGAGGATTTTGAATTAGCACACAAGCCCTTTTATATTGATAGTGATAATGAATTAATTTATGGGTTTGTTTTTTAATGTTTAATTTAATTCTTACTTTTTAAAGATCTACATTAATAATTGATATGCTTTTCCATAATTTATATTATATCTATAGGTATTAAAAAAAATTTTTTTTTAATTTTTATTTGAAATGTCGGCTGATTTTACTACGTCGATTTTTTTGAATTTTCCTCAGTGTTTTTTGATCTCAAGATGTATCCCAGTGTTTATCCTTATTGAGCTACTTTATTTTTATTAAAAAGTTTATCAACAGGAATGAGATTTATATGGATTTCCATATTTTTTCCTGGCCTAGTTGAGTCGTGAAACGCACGAAAAACAGTTTTCGGACGATATTTGAGCCATATTTTGGATTTTAATCCATATTTCAGTCCATATTTTGAGATTTTTAGTACATATTATATGTCCATATTTTTCGATTGATAGTCCATATAAATCCCATCCCTATTTATCAATTAAACCAAATTCATTTATAAAGTTATTGTCAACAAATAAAACTTTGTTGTCGTCTAACCTGTTGCCATTTTACCTTGTGGATTTTTGCTTTTATGTTTTTTGGAGGTTATTGTATGTTTTACCGAATGCTTCTTGTTCAGAGATTATTAATAGATGACAATTTGTGTCAATTTAAAGAGGGGGTATCTTTAAGTAAATTTCTTCTGATCGTTTAATAAAAATTATGTATAATTGTTCTTTAATATAATGAATAAAAATACACTCTGTTTCAAAAGTATAACACACTTGATTTTTTACTTTTTTTGATCTACTGTTAATGTATCCTTTTTAAATTTGGTTCAATTAACTAATCTACGAATATTCCCAATGTTTCATCAATTTTTATGCGATACAATAGTGTAACAAATTTCAAGGACTTTCAGATAGGGGGAGGGCGTGGAATTTTCAAAAAAAACTCAAATTCCCCGACTTTCGGGAACGGGGAACAACCTTAGTCAATACTCAAGACTAAGAGTCTTGGACGGCGGACACTTATGCGCCGCGATTTACACTACTTTGTTTTTCCATTTTTTCCAATGGACACTTTGTCAGCAGTTTATCATTTCCCTCTTTAATTTAAAGCATGCTAATCTAAAATAAAAATTAATTTGCCTTCATGGGCTGGTTCAGCTTCAAATTTTGGTTTTGTTTTCGTCTCATCCTCGCATCTATTGCTCATTTTAACTGGTTTCTATAAACAAAAAATTTTTCTTGAATTTTTAAAATTTCCATGAAGGTTAACAGCAATTTATGTCAATTGTATTTTCTTTACTTTATGGAAATCCTATGATATTTTTTGGTTTTGGTTCCATTTATTTTTGTGTATTTGCTTCCCTTCTTTGAGACCCGAAAATTATTTAATTGTATTTATTCGCTTAATTCGGGCAAAATATGGAGAATATTCTGATAAATCTTTTAAAGAAATTTATGAACAATTTTATAAATATGAAGGAAAGACTAAGGCTGAAGTTGAATTGAAACGAGTTGAGACTTTGAGAAGGGAAAAGAGGGAAAGCAGAAGAGCTGGAAATAAAAAGGTTTTTTCAACAGATTTTTTTGCGGATTTAAAGTTTTTTGCGGACAATATTTGCGGATTTTTTTATAAAAAGCAAATTTTTTATTTGCTTCATATTTTTTATTACATTTAGAGAAAAATATGAAAAATACAAAGAATTTAATAAGACTGACGTAGAAAAATTTATTTGTAACAAGTCTCGACAATTTATCCCTGAGGATCTAACTTTAAAATAGCTAGCAAAATTTACAAATGCCAAATATGTAGGAACAGTGGCTAAGATTTTAAATGATGTATATATACTGATATATTCCTCAAATTTTATTAAGGGTGGGATAGAATAGATTACGTCCGAGTCGACTCTGGTTTTTTCGCCTTTACTCTGGCTCGGAACTCGGGATCCTATTACTCGGCATTACTCGAACTCGGTTTTCCCCAATTACTCGGTACTCGACGTACTCTAGACTAGACTATGAAATTATTTTCTAAAAATTCTTGGTAAAAATTTCAAGACAGATGATTCATCCTCTAGTGAAGAAGAAGGAAATATTGAAACTGGAAGACCTACATTGTACCCTAAATTGCTTGAAAATGAAGAACAGGCTATGCCAAATATTCGCTTGGATCGTCAAAAAGCAGGAAAGAGTAAACAAGATCAATTAGAAGGTTTATAATTTTTAAAAATTTCAAAAAAATTATTTTTCTGTGCTAAAGTATTGAGAATTTTCCTTCATAAAACGAAAATTTCTAAAATATTTCCTCACATTTTTGATAATGAATTAATTTTTCTTTAATTCTCATACTATTCTGATTTTTCCCTGAACAAATTTTGATTTTTTCTGGATTATTTTAAAATAAGTTTTTTTATCCTAATAAGATGAATGCTTGTTTAAATCCCAAAAATTAATTTTAAAAATTTTTCTGATTTTATTTTTATCCTTTACGTTAGTATTTTTTTCAAGTTTTAATCACTCATCGAGAGCCTCCAACAACTCAACGAACTGGACTGAAAAAATTTATTCCTTCATTTTTAATCAGAAAAAGTGATTCACAAAAACGAAACGAGAAAATTGAAGGTTTTTTCTAGTCAAAAAAATTTTTTTAGAAAGATTTTTAGAAGCAAGACGTCTTCAAGAACGGGACAAAGAAAAGACTGAAAAATTGTTAGCCAAGCAAGAACGAAAAGAGAAAAAACGAGCAGAGCTGGCATTGCTAAGGGAAAGGGCAAAAATTGAGAGGAGGTTTTAATTAAAATTAGATAAAAAAATTTTTTTGGAGAGAAATATTTTTTAAGCTTATTTGGGATATTTTTGAAGCTAAAAAATTAAAATTTTATTTTGATTTTCGTTAGGTTTTCTTTTAAAATTTCTTCAAAAATTCACAAGAATCGACACCTTTATATGACAAAAAATATATCTTAAAAACAAAAAAATAGGGCACCTGCTGATTTAAAAAAAATTATGTCTGAAATTGCCGTCCGCAATTGTCCTACCACTAAGAAAAATTTGGAAAAAAAATTAAATTTTTTTTGAGATTTTTGTAATTTTTTAGGAATATTTAAAAAAATTTTTTATAATTTAAAAATAAAAAATTTTTTTAAATTTTTTTAGACGCAAAAATTTTGCGGATTCAGTCGATTTATTACTAACCTATTGCCGTCTAACAACTTCTTTTGCTGTAATGGTAGGGAATGTTCACAAAATGTTTTTGCCTAGATATTTAGCTCCTCCAAGAGATTCTGTTTACGACAGTCCAGATATTTTAATGGTTTTTGGTTTTACTTTGTTAATTGATGTTGGGTTCTTTTGGTTATTAACTATTTTGAGGTAGAAAAATGTTTTTTTTAATTAAAAACATTTTATAAGGGTTTAATAATGTTTAAATTAAATTCTGATTTTATTAAAAATTATTTTTAAAAAATTCTGATTTTAACTTATTTTTAGAGACCGGATTTTTATGCATTAAAAAATGCAAAATATGCACTATAATATGCATAAAAAATTGCCAAAATATGACAAAAATATGCAAGTAAACCAAAATATGTTCACATATATGCATGAAAAATAAAATTTATACCTAAAAATTTTATATATTTTTAGTCAAAATGACGTAAACACTCATTTTCTATTAAGATTTCTCCAATTTTAAACATATAGTTCGAAAAATTGAGCATTTTTAAGCTGTTGTGCATTTTAAGATGAGACATTTTGGTGGTGGGACATTTTGGGGTGCGACGTTTTGGGTCTGAGACATTATGGGGGTGGGCCATTTTCTGGCGAAGCCAATAAACACAAAAAATTTTTTACAAAATTTGTAATTTTTACAAATTTTTTCCTAAATTTTTACTGAATTTTCACTTTTTGGCAGGATTTTGTGCAATTTTCGCAATATTTTCCCCAAAAAAACTCAAAATATGCAGTAAAATATGCATTATGCAGCAAAGTCCGGAATATGCAAAAATATGCATTATATGCAAATAGAAACCCCCTCTAAAGTTTTCAAAACATGCGGAAACAGTGTTTTTTGTGCATTACACATCATGAAAAGTTTGCAAAAAAAAATGCATTTGCATAAAAATCCGGTCTCTACTTATTTTTAGTTCATGTTTCAAATAAATTCTGGTTTTATTAGGAATGTTTTAAGGAAATTCTGATTTAATTAAAAAATGTTTTAAAATAATTCTGGTTTTTATTGATATTGTTCGTAAACAATTCTGTTTTTAACTAACAATAAGATAATGTTTCACATTCATTCTGATTTTCGTTTTAAATGTTTCAATGAAATTCTGATTTTTATTTTATAATGTTTTGAACTAATTCTGGTTTTTATTTAAAAATTGTTTTAATCTAAAACATTTTTAAAATCAGAATTTTATTAAAACATGTCTATAAAAATCAGAATTTCTTTAAAACATTATTAAAATTAAAACCAGAATTAGTTTAAAACATTTAGATTAATTCTGATTTTTGTTTAGTTTAATGTTTTAATTTAATTCCGATTTTAATTTAAACCTTGTTTTAATTTAATTCTGATTTTTATTTATTTAAACATTTAACTATTATTAATGTTTTAAAAATATTCTGATTTTTTTAAAAATTTATTTTTCTGATTAATTTAATCATTTTATAAGTTTCTGTCAACAAATTGGCCTTTGTTGTCGTCTAGGTTGTTGCCGTTTTATTTTTTGGTGTCTTGGTCTTTTATTTTTTGGAGGTTTTTGTATGCTATATCCAATGCATTATATTCAAGAACAAATGGATGAGACTTGGTGTCAATTTGAAGAAGGGGAATATTTAAGTAATTATTTTGATGGAAAATAGAAGACGAAATTTTTAATTAAATATTAAAAAAATTATTCCATTTCGCTTTGGCGCGAGACTCGAAACCGACTTTATGCGAAATTTAAATTCATGAAAATTTTCTCTAATTTCTTTAACCTTGACTACCTTATCCAAAAATTTCAGAATTTTTGATCAAATATTTATGATGTTTTAGTCAATAAACCTCCAAAAATCAGGCATTTTTATGAAAATCTACTTTTCTTGCCATAATTTCTGAAATTCTAGCTCAAAAATTTTGAAATTTTTGGAGAACTTTGGTAAAAACACAAGAGATGATGTAAAATTTTAACTTATTTATAAGCAATTCACTGTTTTATAAGTGAACTGCTTCCCTTTATAAGTGAGTCCCTTCCAGTGAACAAATAGAATAATTTTAAACGCCTTAACTTAATTACCTATATTTAAAAAGTTTTATTTTTAGCCATGTATTTACCGATTCTATTTTTTATTTTTCATACCCACTTTTCAACTTTTATTTCCCGGTTACTACCAACGATAGTTATAAAGTTTTATGAAATTTTTAAATAAATTTAGTTTTTTTGGTGTAATTAAATCAACCACAAAAAGGTTATTTATGGAGGGGAAAACGGAATAGGTATATATGAAGAGAAAGGCGATAGGGAACGAACACCGGAAATATGTAGGTGTTCGTACAACTGCAAGTTGGTGAAAAATGGTTGAAGGATAAATGAAGGGCGTATTCCATAAGGGCGTGTTTAAAAATATAAAATAGTATCGTTTATTCATTTTTATAATTGACTACAATAACGTAAAATACAGTAATTATTGTGGATGAATTCTTAAACGATTAAAAACAGCTTCTTTGTATGGCTTATTAGTAATTATACAAACAATTGGGTTAAAAACGGGTGTAAAATGAGTGAAAATTGCAAGAAATATATAAATTGGATTTATATCATTATCCTTGGCTGAATCATTTTTTTTATTTAGTGTAATCAACACAGATAATATACTTAATAATTGATTAATAAATGGAATAATTACCTGAAAATTTAAAATAAAATTAAATAAAATGTACTAGTGTAGTTTACACCCCATAAGCCACGCCCATTTTTCTTCTCTCTCCAGTTTGTAAAAAGTGACCGTTGAGCCGATAGTTTCATTTTATTTCAGAAAATAAGTCTTAAAACAAAGAAAGAGAGAAGAGGCGGAGCTTATGGGGCGTAAACTACACAAATACCCAATAAATTTTATATACCAAAATTATCAGTGTTATTGTCAATTGTTTAAGCAATCTCTTCATATTCTGACTAAATCCACTATGTAAATTAACATAATGAACCATTTTATAGCCACAAATGAAAATTATAATAAACGGAAGTATTGTAATAACAGTTACAATTAATGGTGGAAAATCCTTTCATTTAAAAATAAATTAAATTGGAAGTAGTTTGGAAGTAGGGTGGTAAACGGTTAACTGAACAGGACCCGATAACCCAGAGTTTTTGGATAATTAAGAGGAATTGTGAATAATGGGGGACCGAAAACCAGCGAAAAATAATTCTGATATACCTTTACTTTAATAGAACCAAAAGGCAAAGTTTTGTTTAATTCGTCAAATTGTTTAATCCCTCCATCATATATAGCGGTGATAAAAATCAAATTATAAAGCAAAACTACAGGTATTATAATTGAAAACATATATAAGTAGCGTTTAAAGCTTGTCTTCATGTTTCTATAAATTTGTTTGGTAATTTTCGTTATGCCACCTCCCCTAAATTAATGCTAAGAACGTCATATATATGGTAACTTTTTTCCCGGAAGTGCTGGTGGACTGAGATATAAGGCTTGAAATGATCTAAAACCATAGGTGGAGTAAGCTCCAGTTTGTGGTCTCCAGCCAGGCATCATTGAAAAAAAGTGTTACCGTTAGATTAAGCACGTTTTATTACCTTATGACATTTTTAGTATTAATTTAGGGGGAGGTGGCATAACGGAAAGGTACCATATATTTCTTATTTCTAATACTGATTTTGATTTTAATTAATTCTGATTTTTTAAAATTAGTACTAAGCAGTGCAAAAGGTTATTCAGTGGCTGGGAGCGAACCAGCATCTTCCACGGACTAATGTGTTATCCATTACACCACGCCGCTTATTGCACAGCCTTAGGAATTAAATAGCTACATATATGCTTTACATTAATTAACCAGGATAATTAAGAGCTTTTATTGCATTTGTTCTTTACCTGTTCAAAACTAGATATCTATAAACAAATTGGACACACAATCCATACAAATTTACAATATAGAAAGTCTGTACGATAAATAAATAATTGACGTAAATAATTTTGTTAAAATTATTTTTCATAGATTCAAAGAAAATCCCATTAGTAAAAATAAATATTGAATTCCCATTGCTGTCATTTAGAAAAATCTTGAAGGGTAAATTTAATTCTGATTTTTCTGATTTTAAAAAATTTTACCATTTGCAAAAACATTTGAGATGTCAATACTAAAATATCCAAAACACAATTTTGTATCAGAATTCTGCTGTGTGTTTCCATTTCTTTTGGTGTTTTAAAAATAATTAAAATAATCAGAATAATGTTTAGAGGATAACCAAGTAATAAACTCCCCCAATAATCCCATCCAAGGAAAATATCAGTTAGATTGGACATTTTTTTATTTATTTTAATTTTTAACAATATTATAATAAAATAAAACAAATGTAAGATAATTTTTAAAATAAAATGTCGTAAACAACTTTTAAAAATACAAAAAAATATTTTTGAGAAAATTTCCTTATTTTAATTAAAACTGTGAGATATTTAACGCCTACTTGGTTACTTTAAAAAATATTTTTCAATAACCAACAAAAATTACAAAGCCAAATTATATTGTAAACAATAAAAAGAGGAAATAAAATAATTACGAAAAAAAATATTTACGAAAAATACCGTAAATCCTTTAAAATAGCCCCCCCCCCTAAAATAAACCCTCTAGAGGTCGATCGAAAAAAATAACCCCGGGGCTTATTTTAGAGGATTTACGAAAAATATACTCACCATTTTATTTAAATTTCATCTCCCATTGTAAATTGGTTCTAGAAGTTTCGTATGAAGTTCCGGTCCGGTAGGCTGTAAGTCACCATAAAGGAGTGAGCGGTGAATATTGTCCGACCGGATATACATATGGAAAAATATGGAAATGAAAGTGCTAATTTTTGTAAGCAAACAGGGCGGATAGTGTGTTTTTCGACGTTTCAGACCCTAAGCAATTCAGGAAAAAAATATGGATCTCCATATAATTGCCAGCCCCATTTATAACATTTTTTAAAACAAGTACAAATCAGAATTAATTTAAAACGAATTTTGAAAATAATAAAATGTGAAAAGCATTCGTAAACATATAAAAAACATCAATTATTGTGGATGTATCTGTAGACGATTTAAAACAGCTTCTTTGTATGGCTTATTAGTTAATATACAAACAATTGGGTTAAAAACGGGTGTAAAATGACTGACACCTAGAACAATTATATAAATCACATTGCTATTTTCTTTATGTGAACTGTCTGTTTTAGCATAAATTATGCCATGTACAAAAACTATAAGTTGATTCATAAATGGTATAATTGCCTGAAATTTAAAATTAAACATAATTGATTCTTAATATAGTACTAGTAAAATGACTTATTATACAACTCAGTGTAAACAAGAGAAAGATCCAGCTGGCTAGCATTTAAAACGCTCATTAGTTGGGGGTTTAAGATCTATTAAAAGAGAAGCAGCGTCCCGGTAGCTCAGTTGGTAGAGCACCTGTACGTGGTGAGCGAAAGCCTAGCAATAACTGCCAGGGGGTCGCAGGATCGAATCCTGCCCGGGATTAAACTTTTACCAAGAGGCCTAAGCGATACTTCCACTATAACAAGACAAATGTATAAAATAAATTTTAGATACCAAAAGTATCAAAGTTTTTGTCAATTGTTTAAGCAATCTTTTCATATTTTGATTAAATCCAGTATATGAGTGAACATAGTAAACCATTTTAAATCCACAAACAAAAATTATAAAAAATGGAAGTAGTACTGCAAAAAGGTTTAAGAGTAGCGAATACAGCTGAAAAAAATAATTTATAAATAGGGACGGGAGAGGGAGGGTTGGGAGAGCCACAGGAAAAATTTTAAGAAAGGCAGCGCCGCGTGGATGGACGTGAACGGGAAAATTTCAAAAAATAACACAAATACCAAAAATATCGAACACCCTGAGGAACTTCAAAATGTTACCGTAGCGTATTACGGGCCATAATATGAAAAATACCGGAATACCTACAGTAATACGATACGGAAACTCAATAAATAACGAAGAATACCGTCGTAGCACGGTCCGATCCAGACTTGCACACGGATACGGATATGGATACAGATAATATCAAAATGCCTGCAGATATCCGCTGTATCCGCCCGTATCCGCCGTAAATATCCGGATACGGATACCAAGATCAGTATCCGTGTGCAAGTCTGGTCCGATCTTTAGCCCTAAGTGCGAGGTACAACTATAAATTTTGGTGCAGGCATTCACGCTCTGTCTTAACTTATCCATTACATATGTAAGTTAATTTGGTTACTTCGAATTTCGCTGTAACAAAAGGCAGTGTTTTATTTAAATATCCTTCTTCAAACAGTTTAACACCTCCGTCAACAAAGTGCATAGCATAGTTAAACCAAATTAGATTGTAAACCAAACCAATAATTAGAACAGTCGAGAACATATACAATAAATAGGTTTTAAAGTCAATTTTCATGTTCCTGTTAATTTATGTTCATAATTATAATATCCTAATCTTTCTTTAAATAAAGGCTAGACGGCTGTAGTGTTAAACTATTTGGGGGCCAGAGTCAAACTATCTGGGAGAGGGGAGGCCAACAAATGTTCAAAATCATAACATGAGAAACTTTTTTCTACCAATGAGCTACTAGGACAATAACTAAAGCTTTCTTTCCCTTTTTCTTTTTTAGATTGTTTAACCCCCGCCTAGCCATTTAAATGCTCTATTTGAATCATCCTTACTCATAATTGAATAATTTGGCCGGTTTATCTATTATAATTAGGGAACTTGAGAGATAAACTATTTTGATTTAATTCTGATTAAAATTATTTGTTCTTTACCTGTTCAGAATTAAATATCTATAAACAAATTGGGCACATACCCCATACAAATTTATAATTATTAAAAACTGTACAATAATTATAAAACTTTGGCAAATAATTTTGTTAAAATTGTTCTTCATAAATTCGAAGAGAATGCCGTTAGTAAAAATAAAAATTGAATTTCCATTGCTGTCGTTTATATTAAACTTAATACCGTATTTGCTCTAGTAATCCCCCAGGGGGATTATAGTTTCAACCCATCTCTAAAGTGGGGGATTAATAGAGCCTGGGGGATTATTAGAGTGGGGTAGAAAGAGGGGGATTATTGTTTCAACCCATCTCCAGGGTGGGGGATTAATAGAGCCTGGGGGATTAATAAAGACTGGGGGATTAATAGAGCAAATACGGTATTCAAATTTAATTCTGGTGTTACTTATTAGTTTTAATTAACGTTTGTTTATTTATTTTAAATTTGTGTTTAAATTAATTTTGGTTTATATCTATAGTAGTTACCCCCCCATTCTAATAAAGCCCCTCCCATCTGTTCAATGTGACTTTTAGAAGATGTGGGACCTGATTACTAGCCTGTTTACTAAGAAAATTTTTGAGTGGGGCAAAAATTTTCTTAGTCCCCAAGTAGTCCTAAGGCTGTGCAGTAGGCGGCGTGCTGTAATGGCTAACACATCAGTCCGGTCTACTGAAGTTGTTGGTTCGCTCCCAGCCGCCGAATAACCTTTTGCACTAGCTTAAGGAGAGAAGCAGCTATAGCCCAGCTGCTTTACTATAATAACTCTTATTTATTAGTGTTTTCTTCAGAAAAAATATAATTTTGTTCAAATTTAATTCTGGCCCTTTCAGAGTTTTTACCCCTTGTATAAGCATTTGAAGAGTCAACATTAAAATATCCAAAACACAATTTTGTATCAGAATTCTGCTGTGTGTTTCCATTTCTTTTGGTGTTTTAAAAATAATTAAAATAATCAGAATAATGTTTAGAGGATAACCAAGTAATAAACAACCCCAAAAATCCCATCCAAGGAAAATATCAATTAAAGTGGGCATTTTTATTTTATTCAATGTTTAAATTTTTCTAGTAAAATAAAATAAATTATTGTTACGAAAAAAACTTTTTAAAAATACAAAGAAAACATTTTTGAGAAAATTTTTTTATTTTAATTAATTTCGTGAGAGCTAATTCTGAGCCAAGATACTTTACGAGCAACAAAAATGGGATCTCAAAGTCCTCGGCATTTTGGCTCATTTTTTCCTTGCGATGGTTCTCCTCCAAATTTGCTCTTTCTCACCAAAAACGTTTATTGACTGTTGGCTACAACTTGAATTTGATTTGGGCTGCTCCCCCTATTTGATCTACCAAAATAATTGAAATGCGACTCTACTTCGGCAACTAGTCTTTGGGTTTACTACAATTCGGGTAAATGTCCAACTCGTCCTCAACATGTCCGCAAACGACTTTCTTCCCACTTTTTCTAGAAAATTTTTACCCGACCCCCGAACCTCTAATCCCTAACTTGAATATTTTTTTTTGGCAAAAACCCCGACCCGACCCCAAAGGCTCTACCAAGATAAACTCCGATCTCCGACACACCCGACCCTGAAGGCTCGGAGTTCTACCCTACTTTAAATAAAGAATGTGTCATATTTTAGAATCGGAAGACGGAAGGCTGAAGAAGGCGGAATAAAGAATATGCGGAAGACGGAAAAGGAAGCCCAATCTTGTACTTTATAACGGCTTACCTGGTATGTCTCACATGTCAAATTAGCGCCGGAAACATTTCCGCTCGAGACTGATTATTTTATTTCCTTATTATTTCATAATTTAAATATTTACTCGAATTATATTTCCTCATTACCAGACTATAAGGAAAGTGCAAATTTGTTAATATTATTTTTTAGACATTAACAAATATTTCCGCACAACTTATTTTTTCTCAAGTCTAAAATGAATTAACATTAAAATTTCTTTAAAAATTAGAGGATTCTCAGTCTAAATTTTAATATATTTTTTTGACAATAATAAATCCTTCTAAAAATTTTTTAATTAAAATGTTAATAATTATTTTAATATTAATTTTATTTCCAACAAGGGAACATACATTTCCAATAACTAAAAGTATATATTTTATATTTAATTTGGTAATTAACCATTATATGCCCACAAATTGAGTGCCGGTCGAGTTTGATCGGCTATAACTTTTTGATGCTTGATCCAACACAAATAAATTTTATATCATTCGAAAGTCCTTAATAGGCAGAATTTTTTTTCCAATTTGATGGATCAGATCTGATCTAATGTTAAAAAGTCATAAACCGATATATGTGAAAAATACCAGTTAACTGGACTATCGGGTTATATGTGATCACTACTTAATATGTGATAAGACTTGATCTATCCTATAAGAAAAGAGATAGTAGATGAAGGTTGATAGTTAGAATAGGAAAAGAGATACTTAATCTGGGTTGCCCATTTAAGAGCTTTCCTAAATGCTCAACGGCAGAGACATGACCGAGACGAGATCTCGATCGTAAATCTCGATTATCGAGATCGAGGATTTTTCGAGATCTTGATTCTCGTACAATACGACACTCTCATTCTGGTCTCTACTCAACTGCCCCACAATGAATTAGAGCCCCACACTAGCCCCCCCCCTCCCCCCAATTAAAAAATAAGTACATTAATTTACCTATTTTTAGCAATTAATGGATGGTATAATGAATTAAGATTTATATGGAATCCTCTAAATACTGAAAAATTTCAAAATATTCTAGAAAGACAATATATGGATATATTAACATTAACAAATAATGATAATCTTAGAATGAAAAAGATTCGCCAAATAACTGTTATATCCTCTCTATTTCTGTTCAAAAAAGCACAAGAGAAATATTTGATTCAATCAAATTCGTGGAGGGAGTTTGTATTTAATAATATTTAAATATCGTCGAATCTCAAAGGATAAAAAGGATATCGGTGACATGGTAGATAAGGAGGGATATTTGTAGATTAAAAGCGGTATCGAATGATTAAAATTAAGAGGGTTGGGAGAGATAGTTAAGGATTAAGAGGGATTTGGATGACATTACCATATATACACGCTTAATCCCTAAAATCGCCTGACACCCAGATGTAGTTCAAATCTCCCCGATATACCGAAAGCTTCCGTCAACCGAAACCAAAATTTGTCGAAAATTTAAAATTTAAATATAGAAAGGTTTAGCAAAAGTTTAGCCACCGGGCAGGATTATAACCTGCGACCTCCTCGTAGTTATTGCTAGGCGCTTACGCCACCGACATACAGGAGTTCTACCACTGAGATACTGAGGCATCGACTAATGCTTACTCTTTTATCGTTTTAGACCGTTTAACCCCCGCCTAAGCGTTTTAAATGCTCTAAGGTACATCATCCTCAAAATATTTTAAAATAAATTTTAAAAATATTATAGAACAATTAACAACTCATATGCTTATTATACTTATAAAATCCCTGCCGTATGTTTGTTATTTGAATTTAGAAGACAACTTGGAGAAATTATAATGCTTAAATTTAATTATAATAAAAAATTTTTTGAAGATTTAAAATATAAAAGAAAACCAGAAATAAATTGTTATGAACAAGATAATTCTTTAAAAATAATGGAAGAAAATATTGATATAATTCATGAAATTAATTTTTTAGTTTTTGATAAATACTTGGTGGAAAAACGGAAATCTTTCAAGGATTTTTTGATGTAATTTTTGAATATTTATATTTAATTTTGGGGGTATTCTTAGGATATACATTAATGCTTTATAAACAACTTATAGACAATAAAAATTAAATTTTAAGTCCAAATAGGGTAATTAGTACAGAATAATATATAGTCCAACAATGTAAATGGCTCACCCCGTTTTGTTGCTTATTTATTAAATAAATAATTTTAAAAAATGACTTTACAAAAATTGAATAGGCCAATTTTATGTGAACTCAAATTTGGCTTTTTTAATTTTTTCCAGAGTTCCTCTTTATTTGTTCCATCACTAAATCAGCCGAACGGATTTAATCTATAATTTATTTTAGTAAATGGCCCCTTCCCCGTACCGTTACTCCGTTCCTGAACGATTTTCTCACATTATCTCCGAAACTTCGACACACCTGCCCTCGAGCGTTCGGGATGAATGCCATATGTTACTAAATGTAAGGTATATCCTCAAAAAAGCACAGCATAAAACTAATTTTATTTGAACAAATTAGCCAAAATTACCAATTAAAATTAAGTAAACTTCAAAAGAAAAATCCAAACACGTATCAAATATCAATTTGTAATTTAGTCGAAGTAATTGGAAAAGCAGGCTCGGTGATACTAAACGAGAAATATCCAAATATATTTCTAAATTTAGGTAACCTTTTATTTAAAAATTTTTCCAAGTTCCAGGGTTCGTTTCAACCCGAAGGAACGCTCGGAGGGAAAGATAACTGTGGAAACATTAATATTTTTTGTGCGGATTCACGAAACGCGAAACCATTATTATAACTAAAGTTCAGCGGTATCGGGATTCAGAGAAAAAAATCTTGATCAGAATTTTGGAATGGTGATACCGATCCCGGAACCCGACACGGAATCGGGATCTCTTTCTAAGAGCATAATTCTATGTAAATTCCACTTTAAATTTAAGATTTTGAATTAGTCATTATACCAATATACAACCATTATTTTGAATCAAAAATTGTTGGAAGATGGCAATCAAAATTGTTTATTGAATATTTTTTATATAAAAAATGGTTCGATCAATTCCAAAAAAGTTTTAAAAATTTGTTAAAAAATTATTTTATAAAATTTTTAGAACATAACTTAGACAAAAAATTAATTGGAAGCTGGCAATTAATATTTAAAAATTATTGGAAGGGTGAATATTTTCAGCAAAATTATATTTCCTATTTTAAAATGCCAAGTGAAGAGGAAATTGAGAGAGAAGTTTTGGTAAATAAATTTTGCTTGGGAATATTAGGTTACATAATTGCTGTACCAAATGAAAGGGGCATTAATATATAGTCATTAATAGGGATCGGATTTAGGTACTTTTCCGTTATCTCCCCCCATTTTCCTTTGATTTTTTCTCCTTTCAAATGGTCAAAGACTAATAGAAAGGCAGACTAAATTCGACTTCCTTCTAACCAATTTCCGTCTTAAATATTGACTTCCGAACGACAATATGATTTTTGGCATCTACATTTATCCTGATTTCCAGTACTTAACTTCATTCGTGTATGTCCAAGGGTTGTCCTATGTATCTACATCAGACAACTATCTAGGAAATAAATAGGCTTCAGGAGATAAATAGATTGAGGCCTTCATGCCTTCAGATATACCTTTCAGCCTATCTTCAATTGACAGACCTTCAAGCCTATCTAGGAAAAAACAGGCAAATGCCTAGGAATCCTAGCTCTTATATTAGTGTACATATGTAAATAAAAACAATTTACTTTCCCCCCATATTTTTCAGAAAACTTATTTATACACAGAGGAATACTATAAAAAACAAATTACCTCCCCAATATATTTACAAACAGCAAAGTTTTGTACAGAACTCAGTTTAGAATTTGAATCAAATTCTAACACTAATAACAAAAAATATTTTGAAAGAATGGAAATTATAAAAGAAAAGTTTGGTATCCAGAATAATTTGGGTTTATTTGTTGCTTCTTGCATTCAAATAGAATTAGAAGGGGGAAATAAATCGGTTAAAATTAAAAATCAAAAAGAAATGCATTTAGATTATTTGGTTAATTTATTTGTTAAATATGAGGATAGCGAGATGAGACAATTAATGGATAAAGAGGATATTGAGAGATTTGTTCAACTAAAGAATTTTGTTAAGAATAGTAAAGGTAAAATGTTCACATTATAATATAAGGCAGCACATTTAGAATGTTTTAAAATGTCCTAAATATAGACAAAATAAATGTCATTCGAAATTATTTTGAATCAAGAATTGCTGGAAGGTGGCAATCAAAATAAGTCTGGGGCACCCTAGGTTCTGGGGTCCCTAGGTCTGGGACCCCCAAGTCTGGGGTCCCCTAGGTCTGGGGCACCTTAGGTCTGGGGCACCCTAGGTCTGGGACCCCAAAGTCTGGGGCCGTTCTTTATCCTTTTCACGAAATTTTTGAAAATTATACTCGTTTTTCTGAATTTTTGAAAACTGGCTATAACTTTCAAAAATTTCGATGACAAATGACATTAGGGTTGTACCCCGAACGTTCGGGGGCGGCTATGTCGGGGTACGGGGTTTTCCAATTGTTTCGGGGCGGGGTTCGGGTCGGGGGAGCAAAATATGGCCGGGGTTCGGGTCGGGGTACGGGGGTTTAGTGGAAAAATTTTTAAAGAAAAAAATGCTCAAAAATAATTAGAAATCGATATATTTTCGTTGATTTATTCAAAAATTAAGTAAGATTTGGAGAAATTAGAGGGGATTTGAAGGGATTAAAGTGTATACCTTGGGATATAAGTGGATCTGGAGGATTAAGTGTGATTTTTAGGGATTAAATGGTATATCTAGGGATACAAGGTGATCTGGAGTGATTTTTGTTGGGTCAAGGGATATTAGTGATTTATAAGGATATTGATGTATTGCGTATAAGGGTATTTGCACGGATATCATGAGATATCTTCGATTAATCCTTAAATCTCCCACGAAATCCTTGTTAATTCCGTTATTCCTTTAAATCCCTTTAAAACTCCTTAATTCTTCGATATCTACAAATCCCTTTATATCTCTGATTCCCTTAACATGACCTCGATAGTTTACCAACTGTTATGGTTGAGAAGTGGTGATACAGAGGGTTTGAAGGATTAAGGGTGGTTCAAGGGATATCAGTTAAAAATAAAATTAATATTTTCAAATTAAAATTTAACTCGTTAATAATTTGTTTTTGTGAAAAAATATAAAAACAACGGAGTTATCCTTATATGGGTCCGAACCCAATCCTATATTAATGAAATATCGGCTAAAACCAACGACTAAGCCACTCAACCAAAAGTCTCTTAATAAAGAAGGAAAGAAAATTATGATATTTCATTCATTTTTCTTTCAAAAATAGTAAAAGCCCAGTAAAATGGGTGGAAATTTTTTTAATTTTCTTCATTAATTTCTCCAAAAAATGACATTTTTTAGGGGTATAAAACCCCGTAACCCCGAAACTTTTTGGGCCGGGGAACGGGGTTTTCACTTTTTTTCGGGGCGGGGTTCGGGTCGGGGAGAATCGTGAGAAAATCGTTCGGGAACGGGGTCGGGGTTCGGGGTACGGGGTCGGGGTACAACTCTAAATGACACAACACTACAATTATGAGGGCTTGAAATGGTCAAAAACCAGACTTTATTCGTCTAAAATGTTTCAGAATGACCTAAAAATGTCTCAAATTACGATTAATAATACAATTTTACATTTTTAGGATATTATTAAACCTTTTAAATGTGCGTCCACATAATGAGAAAGGGACGGTGCCGGTAAAATTATTTGAGGAATATATTAGAGATCGAAAATCTCGATTATCGATATCATTATTTTTCAAGATTTTTTTAAGATTTTTATGCGACAAAAATTGTTATTTTTTTGAGACTTTTAAAGTGAGATCTATTAAATTATAAAATTTTTTTAAATTTTTAAAGATTTACTAGAAAATTTAACTGGCGTAAACCCAACAAATTTTTTTTCATTAATAAAAAATTATAAGCACAAAAATAAAAACAAAAATAAAGAAATAAATGAATGTAAAGAAGAAGAAATTGAAGAAGTTCAAACTGAAATAAAGGTAATTAAGATTGTATAGCGGATTAAGTGAATATAAGATTTAGAGATTGAGTATTTTTCAGAAATATTTAAGGAGATATTTGCCAGTGTCCCATATTAGAGTAAGAGCGAGGTAAAAGTTTAATCCCAGGCAGGCTTCGATCCTGCGACCTCCTGGCAGTTATTGCTAGGCGCTTTCGCTCACCACGTACAGGTGCTCTCCATCTGAGCTACCGGGACGCTGCTTACACCTTCTCTTTTAATAGATCTTAAACCCCCGCCTAGTTAGCGTTTTATATGCTAACCAGCTGGATCTTTCTCTTCCTTACTTAAGTCTACATTCACGTTCTCGACCCATAGGCTCGGCAAGATCCCATGTTCCTTAACGGCCTTTTTCTTACAAAATCCATTTCCGATTTAATACTAATTTATATTTATTTTAAAATTAAGCATGCTGACATAGCTTCTACTAGCGGAACTAAAGTAATTATCTTAAAATTAATCTGAATTATTTTTCTTTATTAATTGGGTACTTATCCGTTATCGAGTAACATTTGAGCTTGATCGGCTGTAACTTTTTCCAATACAAATGAATTTTATATCCTTGGAAGCCCTCGATAAGTTTTCCAGTTTGTTGGATCAGGTCTGATCACTCGTGAAAAGTCATAACACGATATACCTATGTGAAAAACACCAAATAACTGGAAAAAACGGCTACTACTAAGTTGTAGGCATATAACGGATAAGTACCATTATTTTCTCGATCGGAGCCCTGTTTATAATTATTTATTAAACAGGAAGATGATATGGTTAAAAAGATATTCAATAATTCAGAGATTGATATTATAAAGGAAAATAATTCTGACAAAAACGATGAAATCGAAAATTTAGATAAAAATGAATTAATATATGAGACAGTTGAAGATAATATTGAAGAAGATAAGGCTAATGAGCAAATTGATGAGGGTTTGTATTAAATTGGGATTAAACGACATTCGGGATTGGATTTTATATTTCGATCTTGGGTTAGCAAAATTGAGATTGTGCTTCAAAAAATCCGTGATACCGCCCGATCCTTACCGGATCCCTTAACCGGCCAACTCTACTATTAAGAGGTTGTCGATAATTAGCGAGGTTAATTATTTGAGGTTATTTGGTATGCACAAGTTATAGCTCAACTATTTGGGGCGAGGCCGTTTTCGTGCCAACTCATAAGAGAAATCGCTTATTTAGAAAGATGCTATTTTGCAATAATAACTCTCGTATCATTATCTAAGTCTCCATAAATTTCAAAATTTTTAAGCTAGAATTTCAGAAATTAGGACCAAAAATGTAAATTCTCCAAAAAATGCCTAATTTTCGAGGACTATCGACTATAACCTCAAAAATATCTGATGAAAGATTCTGAACTTTTTGGAGGATCTAGTTAAAAATGTTAAAGAAATTTAAGAAAATTTTCATGAACTTAGGTTTCATATAGGCTTAAGTTTCGAGTCTCGCGCTTAAACGCCCCCAATCCCAACTCTCTTAGATATTTAATTTTAATAACATACATAGTACCCATTTTTATTAGATAATAATAATGATATTGAAGATAAAACTGAACGTAAATTGATGATAAAATTAGAAAAGAAACAAAAAGCTTCTGAAATTTTTGAAAGTAAAAGAAAAGAATATTATAATAATTTAGAAAATATTGCTAAAAATGTTGAGATATTAAATTCGAGAAAATCAAAAAACAGTGATTTAGAATCAAGAAAAAATTTTTTTAAAGAGGAGAAAGAATGGGAAGAAATTGCAAATTTGAAAAGTAAATATTTAATTAAGTTTAGATAATTTTTTAACTAAAAAGCGGTACAGAAGAAATATTCAATTGATAATTAAATATAAAATTATTGTAAGGATCATTCACCGAGCAGCATTTAAAACGCTTAGGCGCAGGTTAAACGATCTGAAAAGGAAACAGAGAAAGCATTATTCGGTGCCCCGGTAGCTCAGCTTCTGTACGTGGTGAACGAAAGCTCCTAGCAATACCTTCATTGAGGTCGCATGTTCGAATCCTGCCCGGTGGCTAAACTTTTGCCAAAATCTTTCTTTATTTATCGATGAAATTAAACAAAAGATACATTTTTCTTCCTCAAAATTTAACAATATCTCGAAAGTCAAAACGGGGATTGACTGGGTTAGAATTGCTGTGTAAATGTCCAGCTTGAGGGAAAAAATGTCTAGCTGAGTCAAAACGGGGGGGGGCACACAATCTTGATAGTTCATCGAGGGTCACATATACGCAAGATGCTTCTGTAGATTTTGAGAGCTGTAATAAAGCTTAAACATTCAATGATTTCTCATACTTCCTTTATTATTGCACGACTATCCCCTATATTTGATTACCTGCGTAAAATTAAGAGAGAGATGGAAAGAGAGATGGCCCTCTTCTAAATATATAAATAAACGTATAATTTTAATTAAGATATCTACTGGGATTGACTGTGTTGTGTAAAACTGTGTTGTTTTTCTCCCTCAAAATCTAAGGGGAATAAGGGGAAGGGGAATGCCCACCCCATAGTTTATTTTTAAATTCATTTATTTTAATTAAAAATATTGAAGAATAAATGGGAAATTACCTAATTTTAATTAAGATATCTACCAAATTTTTAAAAATCCGTCTGCTGATAATACCATAGAAGATTATCTACTAAACTTATACTCACTCCGTCTAGAACACTTAAATAAATTTAAAAATGATGATAATACTTTATTAAATAAAGAGGAAGAATTATTTTTAAATTTATTTATTTTAATTAAAAATATTGAAGAAAAATTATTTAGTTCAAGTTTAATTTTAAAAACAAACATTTTTGAAGAAATTGAGGAAATTAAAATTAAAAAAATATTAAAACAATTTGAAAAATATTGGATAAAATTTAAAAAGGATAATTTAATTAATTTTAAAGAAGAAGAAAATAAATTGGAAGTTTATAAAATATTAATTAATAAATTAATTAAAATTGATGTGATTTTAGCAAAATTGCCACATTCCTTTTTTAATATAAACGAAATTGAACAAGTTTTTACAAAGGAATCCAGGTAGTATTTTAAATTTAATATAGGGCCAGGATTTTTAAGTAGTAAAATAGCTACCTAAACAATAGAGACCTGGACCAAGGCCTGGGTTTTTCCTGTACCCAGAGTCCAGGTCCAGGCATTTTTTGACCTTCCTGGGTTTTTCCTGGACCTGGGTTTTTCCTCGACTACATGGCCAGGATCCAGTCCAGATCAAGAAATCAACTCCAGAGACAGGTCCCGGCTTTTCAAAAATCTCGATCTCTACTAAACAGATTGTATAAAACTCTAAAATGCCTTCAGATGAATCAAAGCCAAGGGGTCGATTGATAACTTTTACTCAAAGTTAGAATTATTATTATTAAGAAATTCATTAAAATCTAAGTGAGCCCCCGCCAATTTGGCTAATTATAACTCAAAAAGGAAAATAGGGACTTCAGTTAGTCAGTCAGGGATGATTTACAAAGCTAAATGAGATCATTCCAACTTAGCTAAACTTCCATCTTTGTGTCGAACTGCTTGTGCTCGACCGATTCTATTAAAATTATCACCTTTGGGCCTCTGTGAAACGCACATCCATCCCAATCTTGAAGAGGAGGGCCCCTTTCTATTTTCTTCATTCTTACGAGACTGATCAACTTACCACCTTCAATGAAGAAGGAGGGAGCTTAAAGGGTATGTTAAGAATAACAATTGATATATCGAAAGATAAATAATATCAGGGATGTTAACATGTATAAGGGGAAGGGGAAGGGAAGTACATATAAGGAGAACGGCTTCAATTTCTCCAAATAAATAAGAATTCAATAAGGGGAAGTATAAGAAGAACGGCTCAAGTTATTCAACACAATATACTGTAATTTAAATTAATATTTTTTAGTAATTTAAATGAAGAATTAAATTATTTAACTGAATTAAAAGAATTAAATTTTTATAATTTCGTATTTTTATTGGCAAGAAAATCTGAATTAATTTTGGATAATATTCGAATTCCAATTAAAAATTTTAAATACTTCAAAAACTTTTATGATAAAGACGGAATTATTAAAATAAAATTTTTCAAAAATTTTTCCATGATTTTGGGGGAAAATGATAAAATTACAATGAAGGATTTGATTGATAAATTATTAATAAATATTAAAAATGCAAAAATTGTTTTATCACAACAATTGATGGGTAAATTAATTTAGTAATTTAAAAACGGAAAAGTTCATTTCAATCTGTATCAGTCAGTCTGAACCTATAACTCATGAAGGAATGGTAACATTTTCATGTTCTTGGGATCATTGGATAGAGAATCAAGACTACAATATTTCAAAAAATCAGAATTTTTGAACGATTGATAAATAGTTTATGATCTAAAAGCTTACTTCTTCAAAAAATGATATTTTTCGGCACTTTACTATTATAACTTTTTTATCAATCAATCAAAAATTCTGATTTTTTGGTATTTTGTAACATATTTAGTGCTCTATCAATTAGTACCAAGATCATCAAAAATGATCAGCCCTTTGATAAGTTATAGGGCGCGCGACTGAGCTGAGCGCAGACTGAACTGAGGTGTGCTCATACAGAACTGAGGCGTATTTTTAGTCTTAGTTAAATTATAGTATTCGTTAAAAATAAATATACATTAAAAATAAATATACAAATCAGGGACAAAAATTAAACAAAATTAATTCCCAACCCAGTAAACATAAGGTTCATGATTATGAGATCTTTCGGGAAAGGTTAACTAGATCTCTCAAACAACTACGTTAATTATTTTTAGATGAAAAGAACCAAATGGATTATTCAACTCAAATTGTTAATGATAGATGGCTTAATCCCTTGTATTATAGTCTTAGTCAAGCTATTAATTTACCAAATAATGGGCAAGTGAATAATAAGGTAAAAAAGTATAAAGTATATAAAGTATAATGTCGGTTTGGAAATGAACTAAATCCTTTTTGAATTCGGATATTCAAAGAATTTTTATAACCAACAGTCCTACTCATATTTTTTACTTTCGATTTAGGATTTTTAAATTTTTGTGATATTTTCGATTTTCAAGGGGTTTATGGTGACTTGGTCTTCCAAAATTCTCAAAATTTTCGCATGCAAAAATTGAGCCAAATTATAATAAGAACATTATACAATGCGAGTTTTAACAGAAAAATAATCAAATGTTAAGAAAGGACATAGCATATCTAATGAAATCACTACATGTGATTTTCCAAATATAAATTTTAATTTTAGTTATTTACTTATTTGGATTCAATTTACTTAATAAATGATAAAATTCGAAAACGTAGAAACACCGCTAAAATGTGGATATACAACGAAGTTGAAAATTGGCTTAAACAAACATGTTTAAAAAATAATAAAAAATATTCAGGTACTATAATAAATTTAGAAGAATGTTCAGTTGATCCCTACCTTCCTATTTCTATTTTTTATTTATCAAGGTTTTTCAATGGTTGTTGGAGGATCAAGTTTAATTGGAGCAGACAGTGCCGATTCTGATTTAGATATAATTTTTATTATTCCTACAATTTGTCTATTAAACAAAGAAATAAATGAATGTAAATTGTGTAGACACGGCATAAATAAAAATCAACAATTATGTACAGATCATGATTTATTATACGGCGAAGGACTAAATAATGAATCATTTACATCACATATTTGGGGTGTTATTAATGATATTAAAAAAGAAAAGGTACACTTTCTGTTGAAATAATAATTAATATAATTTATATATACCGTACCGTATATCCACTAATAATTACCCTGGGATTATTGCATTAATAACTTGGAATTCGACCTTTTATCCCCCGTTCCCTGATCATTATGCGCATATTTGCCTATATTTGATATATCATTCAAAAGAGCTCTTCGAGCATGGGTGATAACAAGATCTGTTATACATATTCGATCATTCTGAACAAAATCAAGCTTCAAATCCTTTTTATCAAGCTTCAAGTGATTTTCGACTTAGCTCAAAGAGATTGTTCGAATAAAATATAATTTCCAATAAAATGAGAAAAAGGGTGGGGGTTCAAGTTTTAATATCCATGGGGGAATTATTTGAGGAGGAATTATTTGGAGAAATCATGGAAGTATTATTTGAGAGAGGTAAATTTTCAAGCATAGTGTCCTAAATATTTCTTGTCACACTGTAATTTTTCTAAAATTTTCATTATTGAAGGTATCATCTGCTTATCGAATAAATATCATTAGAGGTCGATTATCAACAATTAATGTTGTTTATGCAGGTCAAAACATGGATATCTTATTAGCTGTAGTTCCTTATGAAAAAATACACGATTTAATAGACTTAAACAATCAGGAAAACAAAGAAGTAATTAAAAATAATTTGAATCTAATGGATTCGCTGATTAATGATATGATCAAAATTAATGGAATATTTTACAATCAGAGTATATTATTGCTAACTGGTTATCGTTTTATATATCGGACAAATTTTTATTTAATTCATCGATCAAGGAGGCAGATTTTTAGATATTTATTACTTGCTGTGAAATTATGGGCAAAGAGTGAATAATTATTTTATAATGAGGGTGACGGTTTCAAATCGAGTCACGGTTCTGTTTGGTTCATATTTGGTTAACTGAATAATTTGGGGAAACCAACAACCCCATCAATGATAGTACCGTATAGGCTGAACAATAACCCTCTCTCAAATAATTACCCAATCCTTATTATTTACTCCCTCCAGCAAGAGGTTGAAACAATAAATCTCAAATTGATATACTTTGCAAATGAACATTCAAGAGACACGCACAAACATGCTTCATGATTTCCTAATCTTTCCAAATTTAGTATTAAACGCTTCCTCTCATCGAGCTAAGGAGATTGGTGCCAAAATTGATATAGGGCAAACATTTTCCACCAAGTAATGGCTTTGCGCCGTTATGGCCGCGAGCAGTTTTGGGCTTTACCTGGCCATTTAATTAGAGACAAACTATCTAAAAAATTTTCTATTTTTAAATCAGGACGTCAAATTTACTCGAATATATTTGGATATTTAAGCGGATCAATTCTTTTTGTTATGGCAGCAAAAATATGTTTAATTTATCCTTTTGGAGAATTGAATTTTTTATTACAAAAATTCTTTCAAATTTACAGTGCCTGGTAAAACTGTTAAAATAATTAAAAATATTGTTTATTTAGGGCCTGGCCTTTACCCTTAATAATTGAAGATATAAAAATTACAGGTCCGGATATAATAATAAATTTTAACGACTTTTGGGACTTTAATAATTTAAAATTAAACGAAGAAAGTTTAAAATCTGGAGATAAAATGCCAATATTAACATCGTTATTTCCTGAACAAAATACAGCACATAATGTTAATGAATTTACTTTGAAAATTATTCTGAGGGAAATTAGGCAAGGTTGTATTTAGTATTTTAAAAATTGATAGTTAAGGTACCTTTGTAGATGAAGTTCCTGCCCCTGCCGTCATGAAAAATAAATTAATGACCTTTTACCTTTTATAATGGGGGGGGGGGTTCCGAATTTTTTCATTCCTGAATTCACAATCCAGAAAACACTTTCGGGAACCGGATCTTTATATCTGCCGTACATTCTTAAACAAATAACAAAGGTATATGCCCTCCCGTATATGCCAAACTAAATACCATTGTCTATATAAATTATCTATATTTGGGGGGTGGGGGGGTGGTAATTAGTGTTTCAACCTGCCCCTGAAGACATAATTAATCGAGTGACGGAATTATTATAGCATATAGTACTAGAGATGCGAGATTCTTAGTCTTGAGTCATGACTCAAGACTTTTCTTGGGGTTTTTTCGGTCATGGTCTTGGGGGCCTCTAGCATATACGATATCTAATTCTGAAAAAATTTTTTATTTTTTCCCTTATATGTATTAAATTTATTAAATATTTGATTAACTTCAAAAGGAATTTTAGAATAAATTTTGATACTTATTTTATATTTTTTAAATTTGTTTTTTAATATAGCTTATCATATAATGGATGAGCTTAATTTTAATAATAAATCAACTCTGGAAAAAATTAATATATTTGATGAATTAAATTATAACTCAATTTATGAGCATTTCCTTCTAATTGAATGCATATCCCTAAGTTATTTAAATCCAGAAATTCGATGTTCAAAAGTAAAAAGCCGAGTAAGAATTGCAATGACTAAATGGGTTGATGAAGAAGTATTTAATTTAAAATTAAAGGATTGTCTCAAGGAATATCATGTATTGACTGGTTATGAATTTAAAAGAACAATTAAATATGAAAAGTAAGATAGATTCGATTATGTATATAACACACTAAGGGTAATTCTGATTTTTATATTCTCTGAAAATAATTTTAAAAATAACTTCACTCTATGTCAGGCTAGATAGAGATTAACAGATTAGCGTTACGCTGGTGGCAATAATAACATTTAAAAATAACTTGATAATGATTTAAAGTTAGAAGGAATTAGGGCATAAAGAAATATAGGGCATAAAGAAATAAAGAATTTTTTCTTTGATCATCAGCTTTCCATCAGGCCCCCCCCCACCCATCAAAGGGCAATTATTTGATCATATATTTTATTTTACATTGACAACTACATAGTTATCTAATTTTAATTAGTTCACAAATCCATCAATCACTCTTATTAATTGGCTTTAATTTATCTAAAAATTGCTTTAATAATATAAAAAATAATGAATTCATTAATGAATTGGAAGTATTAGCCAGAAAATTAATTGAGAAATTAAACATATTTTTATTGGATAATTTATGGATAGATTCAATATATTTAAACAAAATTGGTTTAGATAAAAGGTATTTTAATATTATCAATTTTTACACGTTAGTGAGTTGAAATAGGGTTGCCAAAATGGACCGACACGGACCGAAAGATCGAGTCGTGCCTAAGATATTTGGCCCAAGAAAGACTCGTACCAGCCCGACTCGATAAAACCAAGCACGAAAAAATGCCTCGACCGTCGGCCTGACTCGAGAATGACAACCCTATTTTTTGTAACACCCCTCCTAATAGTACGAAACATTATGTAAGAGAACTGAAATACCGTCCTAATTACCTTGTGTAAAATAATCTATGGGTGTTTATTTATTGGTGAGTTGCTATGAGTTACACGCCAGATGTTTTACGAGGGATAATTTGCGCTAGTTAGTGGAAACCTTCAATGAAAGTATTTAATTAATAAGGCCAGGTTTTGGAGGAGAAAAGGAAATTATCTGTAAGATATTAGATTGAAGGAGTCTGTAAGAGGGTAACCTTGAGAACATGTCTTGTAAGTCTGAGAACATGTTAAGTTCAAATCATATAAAATTCACTATGATTATTAAACGATAGCCGAGATTATAAGTTAATATTATTTAATATTTATTCTTACACTGGAGATAACATAAAATATTGTATTCAATTTTAGAGTTCAAGAATTACGTCGGAAAAGTTTAACTAAAGAAATGCCATCCAGTTCATCAACAATATTCAATCATAATACTTCGTTTAATAATAAAATTAAAATGAATACCGAGGATAAAGAAATTGATGAGATTAAAGTTAGCGAATTGACAAAAATTCTTAAATGGCCAGAAATAGTACTAACAAATAAATTAGACGATTTAAAATCAAATAATAAGGATAATTCTTATGTATATTTCCCAACAAAAAAGGTAATAAAAGTAAATTGCTACTACTATGAAGCTTCCTTATTAGTAGCTAATTTGAATGAATATGCTATGTCTTAATAAGCTAGGCCAAATGCTAGTTCGCTCACCAAATGCTAGGCCAAATGCTAGTTCGCTAGATAGGCCAAATGCTAGTTCGCTCAATGCTAGTTCGCTGTAAATACTCCTTATGATTAGTTATAGTAGAATATGTGGGTATTCCAGTTAAGCTTTATTATTTTATATAAGTCCTAAGTAAAGTAAAATTAAGTCGTCCTTAGTAAGTTTTCCTTAAGTAAGTCCTCCTTAATAATTAAATTTTTTAAAATTCAGTTTCCTGAAGAGAATATGAAGATATATAATAAAAAATCTTTAAAATTATTGTGAAATATCAGTAAATAGTTAAACATAAATTAAGTAATAAAATATTTTTGTATATACATATTAAAATCTTTTTTTGTATTTTTTAATAAAAATTATTTAAATTCTCTTTTAATTCATGGAAATTTCTATGAAAAATAATTGTATGTATTAGCTTAATAATTATTTAGTAGTTAAAAAAATCAGAACATATTTAAAACATGTTTTTATTAAATTAAATGTTTTGAAATAATTCTGGTATTTTAAAAAAGTTAGAAATTCTGGTTTTGTTGGTTTTAAATTCTGGTTTTGTTGTTTATAAAAAATTCTGGTTTTTACAAAATTCTGGTTTTGTTGGTTTTAAATTCTGGTTTTGTTGTTTATAAAAAATTCTGGTTTTTACAAAATTCTGGTTTTGTTGGTTTTAAATTCTGGTTTTGTTGTTTATAAAAAATTCTGGTTTTTACAAAATTCTGGTTTTGTAGGTTTTAAATTCTGGTTTTGTTGTTTATAAAAAATTCTGGTTTTACAAAATTCTGGTTTTGTAGGTTTTAAATTCTGGTTTTGTTGTTTATAAAAAATTCTGGTTTTTACAAAATTCTGGTTTTGTTGGTTTTAAATTCTGGTTTTGTTGTTTATAAAAAATTCTGGTTTTTACAAAATTCTGGTTTTGTAGGTTTTAAATTCTGGTTTTGTTGTTTATAAAAAATTCTGGTTTTTACAAAATTCTGGTTTTGTTGGTTTTAAATTCTGGTTTTGTTGTTTATAAAAAATTCTGGTTTTTACAAAATTCTGGTTTTGTTGGTTTTAAATTCTGGTTTTGTTGTTTATAAAAAATTCTGGTTTTTACAAAATTCTGGTTTTGTAGGTTTTAAATTCTGGTTTTGTTGTTTATAAAAAATTCTGGTTTTTACAAAATTCTGGTTTTGTAGGTTTTAAATTCTGGTTTTGTTGTTTATAAAAAATTCTGGTTTTTACAAAATTCTGGTTTTGTTGGTTTTAAATTCTGGTTTTGTTGTTTATAAAAAATTCTGGTTTTTACAAAATTCTGGTTTTGTTGGTTTTAAATTCTGGTTTTGTTGTTTATAAAAAATTCTGGTTTTTACAAAATTCTGGTTTTGTTGGTTTTAAATTCTGGTTTTGTTGTTTATAAAAAATTCTGGTTTTTACAAAATTCTGGTTTTGTTGGTTTTAAATTCTGGTTTTGTTGTTTATAAAAAATTCTGGTTTTTACAAAATTCTGGTTTTGTTGGTTTTAAATTCTGGTTTTGTTGTTTATAAAAAATTCTGGTTTTTACAAAATTCTGGTTTTGTAGGTTTTAAATTCTGGTTTTGTTGTTTATAAAAAATTCTGGTTTTTACAAAATTCTGGTTTTGTTGGTTTTAAATTCTGGTTTTGTTGTTTATAAAAAATTCTGGTTTTTACAAAATCCTGGTTTTGTTGGAAATCTGATTTTATTAAAACAAAGGTTTATTGTGGATGTATTTGCAAACGATTAAAAACAGCGTCTTTGTATGGCTTATTAGTTAATATACAAACAATTGGGTTAAAAACAGGTGTAAAATGATTAAAGATTGAAAGAAATATATAAAGAATATTTTTATTTTCTTTAGGTGAATCATTTGTTTTATAATTGAAATTAATGAACACAGCTAATAAAGTTAAAAATTGATTTATAGATGGAATAATTGCCTGAAATTTAAATAAATTAAATAAAATTTTGTAGCCCGATTAGAATAATATTTAAATTTAAGGAAAGAGGAAAGGGCTGGAATAGCGAAGCCCCAAAATAAAACCGGTATCTGCCTAAAACTCAAAACCGCAAACTGTAAGTACCGGTTAATAACCGATAGTGAACAATCCTAGTACCGTATAACCTGTATTTGCCCTCCCTCAAATAATTACCCCACTTCTATTAATTACCCCATCCAGCGATAGATTGATACAATAATTACCCCCAGACAAATGCCCTAAAACACGTTCAAATTTTAAGCCTCGTATAACTACCATCCCTCGATTAATTACTCCCTCCATTGGAAGGTCGAAACAATAATTACCCAGGGTAGTTATTAAAGGATATACGGTATTTACCATAAATAAAATTACATATAAATTCTGTATACCAAAATAATCAAAGTTATTGTCAATTGTTTAAGTAATCTCTTCATATTTTGATCAAATCCAGTATGTAGATTAACATAATAAACCATTTTAAATCCACAAACAAAAATTATAACAAATGGAAGTATTACAATGGGAGTTAAAATTAATGATGGTAAATCCTTTTATTAAATAAATGATTATTTTGCCTCAGTAATTCTTATACCTCATATTTCATAATAACAAACGGCAATGTTTTGTTAAAATATTCTTCATCAAACTGTTTAATACCTCCACCAATATACTGCGTAGCATAGAACATGTTAAACAGATTTAAAAACAAACCAACAAGTAAAACAATCGAAAACATATATAGATAACGTTTAAAGTTTGGTTTCATGTTTCTATAAATTTATGTTTTGTTTTAAATTAATTCTGATTTGTTTGGCTCGACGTAAGATACGCTACATGATGTAAGGATGATTCACCTAGCAGCATTTAAAACGCTTAGACGGGGGTTAAAAGATCTAAAAGGGGTTAAAAAATCTAAAAAGAAGCATTAGTCGATGCTCCGGTAGCTCAGTGGTAGAGCTTCTGTATATGGTGAGCGAGAGCGCCTAGCAACAACTAGCAGGTGGTTCTAATCCTGCCCGGTGGCTAAACTTTTGCAAACTCTTTCTATGATAACTGTGCTTTGCTGTGCTTGTGCTCGCTTGCTCATGGCGACATACTACATAAAATATCGTTAATATAGTAAAGCGGTTGGTCCCGTTTTCAGTGCCCGTTGGAGTGCTGGTTTTAAAAGTGTTGTGTTGGTTTTATCGGCCTTAAAATTTTGTAATATCCCTAAGGGGTTGGGACCTGCTGGTGCTCTTTAAGACGTTTAACAATCATTCAGTCATAATTACTATTACATTGACTGACTGTTCAGAGCAATTTACGAGTTTTTTACGATTAAAATTATTTGTGTTTTACCTATTCAGAATTAAATATCTATAAACAAATTGGGTACACAATCCATATAAATTTATAATGTAAAAAAATTGCCCAATAATAATGATACTCTGACAAATAATTTTGTTGAAATTATACTTTAAAAATTCGATGAAAATGCCGTCATTAAAAATTATAACAGAATTCCCTTGACCATCAATT